GGCTGGATGGGGTGAGGTTGGCCTCCAGGCTTGCCAACCCTTCTTGTGGCCTTGAGTGGCAGACAGCAGAGAGAGAGGGCGCAGACCCCTTCCTGGGGCTCTACCTCATGAGCCACTCCCCCACAGGGGCCCACCTCCTGCCATCACTTGGGTCAGGACTTCAACAGATGACACATGGAGTCCAGTGCAGGATCTGGACAGTGACCCAGACCAGCCCGTGGCATCTGCCCCCAGGCTGTACTTTGTGACTTGGAAGACAAGCTGCTGGAGGCTGGAACGGAATCCTGGAGTTGGCTGGGGAAGCTGCCAGCAAGGCCCTGGGCTCCTGACGTGTCCCTGTCTTGCTGGTCAGCCTATCTGAATTATTTGCCTGTTGTAGCATGTGGTGACCTTGTCCAGGGTGAGGGCCTGGGTGGGGCAGGAACTCTGACAGCCCCTGGGCCCTGCCTCAGGCTGGCTGGCTTTCTGCCCAAGGCCTGCAGGACGTTTGGCCAAGCAAGGAGCTCCAGTGAGCTGGGCGGGCAGCCAGGGCATAGGTGCCCACAGCCTGTGCGTGGGCAGGCAGCTGACCACTCTTCCAGCAGGAGACTGTCTCCACGGCCCTGAGTTCTAGCTGCCCACATCCTCCCAGGGTCTACCCAGCAGCCCCTGAGCCACACCAGTGCTGGGCCTCTCATCATCCGTGGTGACAGAGGCTCTGGGTGACATCGGCCCAGGTCAAAGTGGCAGTTCATGTGAGTTGCCTGCTGAGCCCCTCTTGTGGGCTGGGCTGCACTTCAAGGGCTCCTCTGTGGCGGAGGCTAGCTCTACACAACCACATACCCGGAACATGGAGCTGGGTGGGGGGTGCCCACACTGTCCACCCCAGACCAGGAGAGGCAGCAGCATTCTGGGCAGAGGGATGCGTCCATGAAAGCTTGCCCCCTGGCGAGAGGGGCACCAGGTGAGTGGGAGCCAGGGCCAGAGGTCGGAAGGCTCCAGAGCCGTGCGGGTTGCATCTTGCAGGCAAGTGGCTGGGGTCTGGAAAGCGATCAGGTAGTGTCAGAGTGCCAGGGAACTGCACAAGGGTCTGGGTCACACCTGCAGAGCCACAGGCCTCTGTGTCCTCACATTTTATCTGCAGCAAAACGGGGACAGTTTTACAGCTGCTTCTGTCTGGAGGTGAGGGAAAGGCAGGCACATGGGTGCCAGGTGCGAAACTCTGGATCACCACCAACAAGATGGGTTTCAGGATGAGGGCCACTGTGGGGAGACACAGGACACTCCCAGGACACTCCCAGGGCCATCCTAACCCTATGCCGTCTCCAGCTGCCACCGACAATAGGTCTCTGACAGTCAGGTATTGGCAGGTCCATTCCCTTGCTCTACCACATTAGCTGGTTTGCCGGGGGCTGCGGAGCTTGTTTAGAGCTCTAGTCCTTTTAAAAAAACTATAAATTAAATTTCTATTGATTTTAGTCAATAAGCATTAGTGTGAGATGTTTACCCCCCCCCCCCGCCCGTCCCCAGACACACAGCCCTTCCTCCTCCTGGGAGGAAAACTCTTGTCCGGATGGGGAGCTGGCCCTCTCTGCCCAGGAGGGCACTTCCTGTGGTCCAAGCTGTAGGACTGCAACAATAGCAGCCCTGGCCAGGCTCAGCCGTGAGAACCTGTCCCTTCAGAGTGAGTCTTGTTTCTGGGCTGGTGAGTCTGCTCCAGCTGCTCCTCTGACACGCAGGGCCGTGGCTCTCCTTTTCTTCTGGGAGGAGACGGAGTGGGGACTGAAGTGAAGAGGGAAACTACTTCTCAGTGTTGAGTGTGCTGTTGTCTGTGCAGGTCACTGGCCCACAGGATCAGGTGGCCGGACACCTGGTGTGGCTGCCATCCCTGTGACAGTGAGGGCTTCCTGGTGGGGTGGTGCTCAGGCACTTTCTCCTGCACACAGTCTACGGAAACTCCCTGGGTTCTCTCCCTTGCTGTGCTGCAGCTAGGCTACTGGGAGAGCTGACCCACCGACTTCCTCTGTGCTCCGTGTCTGCCAGGCCAGAGTCCTGACTTCCAGGGTTGCATATCAGCCTGAGCAGCAGCAGAGCAGTGGGTTTGGGGGAGGTAGCAGGCCTGCCCCTACCTGCACCATGAGGAGAGGGAGGCTCACCACGCAGCCTCTCCAAGGAGGAATGATCCAGATGCGCTTCAGTTTGACTTCCACCATAAGCAGCCACAGTATCAACCCATCACAGGTCCCTGTCTGTGCCAGGCTGTGGGGGACACTGGGCAAGACAGGCACAAGCCAGGGATAGCTCGGCTGGGTGGCAGGTGGTCATAGCCTCTACTGGTACATTTTATGATGGGGAAAGAATGTACAGGAAGGATCCATGGCAGCAGCCACGTCCATGGTCCACTTTCTCTGGCTGCTGAGGGCAGTTCAGTGAGGTGAGGACAGGAGGAGGCCCACTGCTGCCTGCCCAGAGGCATGGGCTGGGCTGGAAGGTTCTGGGAGACTGGGCAGCATCCGAGGTGCTGAAAGGACAGCGCCTGGCCTGTCTGCAGGGCCTCCGCCTGCTGCTGGCAAGCGCTCTCCCCCAGCGGGAGTGGGGCGTCCTGAATTGGAATCTCTGAACTCTTCTGCTCTGGAATTCTGTCGATGCAGTCTTGGCAAAGATGGCTTCAGCCTGAAAGCTTTTCCCATCTTTTTTTTTTTTAATTTAAGTTTCATCATAAGACAAAACATCTTATTATTATTATTTTAAAAAATCTGTGTTTTATTATTTTTATGTGGTGCTGAGGATAAAATCCAGTGCCTCACACGTGCCAGGCATAACCCAGCCCCCCATCTATTTTTGAATGAAGTGGAATTCCTGTTGCATGCATGAAATTTTCCCTAACTGGGAGCTTCTGTGACCCTGTTCGCTGGGTACAGGTTGGGGGGCATGGTGGTGGGCACTGTCAAGAATGTAAGGCACAGCATTGAAGACATAAATGATCAATGAGCCAGTGTGTTGAAGGACACCCTAAATGGAGGAGACAAAGGATTCCAAGTCTTGCTACAGGGTTCACTTTCTGGAACCTTCTGAGATGCAGCAAAGCTGTTGGAGCAGACACCATTGGTGGAGAAGACCACAGACAGCCGTGGAGGCAAAGATATGTTGCACGCTGAGAAGGTCCCTCCAGCCTCCCTGTGAGAGGAACCCCACTTTCAGCCCCCCATAAGACAGGGGGGGCAGTTGATGTCTCCTTAACTTCAAGGTTGTGTTCTCCCTTTCTGCTAAAGCTGAGATGAGCAGGTGTCCCTTCCAATGTCCCGGGACCCCAGAGAGCCTTTAGGTTTGCTCTCATCTAAGGGCTATGCATCTGCTAAAATGACACCTGAGACGCCTCTCTCCTCTGTGAAGCAGCCCCAACTGTGGGTCCCACTTTGGTCTGACTTCAAGCCTGAGAGTTGCTCCCAGGAGAATCAAGCATGGGGCTTCCCCCAGAAGGAGGGGGCAGCCCAGGCCTCCCTTGGTTTTCACATTTGTTTGGTCTTTTGCAGAGGGAGAATGAGGGTGACCCAAGGGCAAATGGCAAGGCCAGCTAGCATGTGCAGGGGGATGGGGTGGCACCTGCTTCATCTGGGACTCGAAGTCCCCTCCTTACCCTGAGCCAGCTGGGCTGGGCCTCTTCCCTTAACCTTTCCTGGGTGGCTTTGTAGGCTTGGAGGGGGGCAAGCCACTTACTGATCATGGCTGATGCTTGGGCCTGGAGGCAGGGAGGCAGGGCTTGTGCCCTGGCTTGTCCTATGCATGGTATGCACACCTGCCTGCAGAAGCTCCAATCCACCCCAACATTCTAGATAATTGACAAGTTAGCACTGTGCCCACCATGTATTTTCAACCTAATTGAAAACAAACAAACAACAACAACAATAACAACAACAACAACAAAAAAAACCAGGCTCTATAGCCATGAGCTCTGGAAACTAAAGGACTGACTCAGTATGGGGTCTACTGCCATTTTATAAGCAAGGTACTTAAGTACTGCTACTCAAGAGGAGCTTTCTCTGGCCCCACACGTGGTGCTGGGGTGGGATGGAGATGGGAAGAGGCTTGGTGGAGCCAGACCCCCAGGTGCAGAGGAAGGCTCCAATGGGCACTTGGTGAGGAGCTGGCACGATGTGCAGGAGCTTCAGGGTCTGAGAAATGGGTCCCTTGGCATCCCTGCTGCAGGTTCCAGAGGGCCCTCTCCTGGGACACCCCCTGACCCGTGGAAAGGGAAGTACTTCTGCCCACTCCTCCCTGAAAGGGGGCATCCTCCTGCCTCTGACCAGAGCCTACCCTCTTTTATCCTGCACTAGACACTAGTGTCCCCCTCTGGCCTGTGTTGGCTTGGGCCTCAAGGCACCAGCTCCCTACCCTGTGGCAGGACCCTCTGAGTCTGCAAAGTCCAGGTCCCCTGGGGACTTCCAGGCCCTCCAGGGGTGATTCTCTAAGGCCTGGATACTCTGACTGCTCCTCTCACTCCTTTTCCTAGAGGGCCTCCCTTCCTGGACCCTTCTCCAGGTCCCACCCAGGGGACCTCTCAGGAAGCGTCCCCCGATTCTCCTTGCACATCCCAGTGAGGGGTTGGCTTCCAAGTGCCCCATCCACCCTGAAGCTGGCTGAGATCGATTCAGCCCAGGGAGCAGATCAAATCAGAATTTGGCAAGAGCCAGTACCCGCCTCCACCGGAGGTGTCCACCCTGGAACCCAGCTGGCGGGAGTCCAACCAGGGTCAGGCGCTTGGCACCACTTTGGGATCCCAGGGAGAGCTCAGGCCTGGTCAGATGGCCAGCTTACATGGCCCCGTTTGCCTCAAGAGTGACCGCAGGGGCTGGAATCCCTATCAATGCGCACATGGCGGGTTGATAGGGAGAGAAGAGTCCTTGAGACCCAGAGTGGCCCTTCCCTTCCTTTCCTCCCTTCCGGGGCGCTGCCGCGCGGTGTCGCAGGAGTTAACGGGGGCGGGGCGAGGCAGCAGGCGGAGCCGGCGCGGCCGCGGGCCGGGCACCAAGGCGCGCGCGGAGCGAGGTGGCCGCAGCGTCCCCGCGCGCGGCCGGGACCGGCAGGAGCGCGGAGCCGCTGCCGCCGCTTCTGCCGCCTCGGCCATGCGGCTCCAAGGCCGAGGGCCTGGCCTGGGGCCTGCGCCTCCCCCAGCACGCCGCCCCCGCTGAGCCCACGCCCGGCCGGCCGGGGCGCCACCCGGCACCATGGTGCAGAAGTCGCGCAACGGTGGCGTGTACCCCGGCCCTAGCGGGGAGAAAAAGCTCAAAGTGGGCTTCGTGGGGCTGGACCCCGGCGCGCCCGACTCCACTAGGGACGGCGCTCTGCTCATCGCCGGCTCTGAGGCCCCCAAGCGCGGCAGCATTCTTAGTAAGCCGCGCGCGGGCGGCGCAGGTGCCGGGAAGCCCCCCAAGCGCAACGCCTTCTACCGCAAGCTGCAGAATTTCCTCTACAACGTGCTGGAGCGGCCCCGTGGCTGGGCATTCATCTACCACGCCTACGTGTGAGTGTCCGGCGGGGCGCTGCGCACAGCAGGCTGGGGGCGACCCAGGCTCGGCCGCGGGTGGACTGCGGGCGTGGAGCTGCCGTGGATGGAGAGTCCCCTGTGTGTGTGTCCGCATGCCCGCGCGAGTCTCGCGTGTGCCAGGGGTCTGGGTCTGGGCACTGCGTCCCTTGGTTAAGCGAAGGGCAGAGATCAGAGAGTGGTTTTGGAAAGCAGTCTGGAAGAAATTCGGGGTCAGGGCGGTTCAGGTGGGGCGGAGGCGCCCAGCTGAATTGCACCAGCCCCTCCCCCGCAGGACGAGCTGCGCTGGCGCCCCAGCCCCCCTTAGCGGGAGGCCCCTCCCCACAGCCCCGCTCGCTCGCGGAACAAAGGGCCGGCGGGGAAGGAGGGCTGCGTGGTCCTGGGTCCAGAAGACTCTGGGGGGGCTCTGCAGCGGGGCCCCCACGCAACCAAGCGGTGTGGCGGGGCTGGCCTCTCCTTGGCCATCCTTCCAACTTCTCACTCTCCATGGGAGCTTCTGGGTTGCTGAAATGGGGAGGGGTCTAACTTCACCAGCCCAAGTCCTGGGCCAGTGCCCCACTGGTGCCAGCCCTCATCCCTGATCCTCAACTGAGCACAGTCTTTACACAGCAGCCGGTGCCCCCCTGCACATCCAGAGCCTGGGAGGAGGCCCGCCCAGGACCTGGCTATGCCCCTCTTGTGGGGCCTGGCGCAGGCTGGCGGGGGGCTGCCTGTTCTGAGTGTGGTTTTGTGGGAGTTGCTGGGTGTGCAAGTGCGTGTGGGAGTGTGTGTAGGTAGTGAGCAGAGCCTCCAGTGTGAGGGCGCTTGCTCTCCCCTTCCAGCCAAGCCAGGGACAGGAAAGAGCCCCGAGACTCGGCCATTTTGTGTGGAAGAGGCATTTTGGGTCTGGAGTGAGGAGCGGATTCTGGGAAGTCTTGGGCCAGCTGCCTGCTTGGGCTGCGAAGGGTGTGTGTGCCTGTGTGGGTGCTAGAATGTGGTTCTGGGACGGAGGAAGGCCCCTCGAGGGAACCCCGCTGCCTTCAGGCCCCCAGTAGGCAGGGCTGGTGCTGCCAGTGTGGCCTCCACTTCCCTCAGTGAGAGGGATCTGCTTCTTCAGCCTAGAGTCCAGGCAGGGTCCAGGCCGGGTCCAGCGCCTGTCCTTATTAGTCCAGCAGCACCCTGCTCCCTGCCTGTCTGGGGTTCAAAGGCTTCTGTGGGACCGTCTCTGGCCATCCAGGTCGTGGCCAGAGAAGACTTCTGGGGTGTGGACGGGACAGAGTCCCCCATGCAGTATCAGCATTTCCTCAGGGTCCCCTTTGGGTCAGGAGCCCTGTGTGGGTCCCACCCCTGGGTCCTTCCTTAGAGCTGCAGCATCCTGGGTGAGTGGCAGGCTGTGAGGTCTGTGGGTCGTCTCCTCTGGAAAGCCCCGAGTCAGGACCATCCCCTTCAGAGAGCAGCCTCTGCCATGCAGCTGGGGGCGCTGGGGGTGAGACCTTCCCCAGGCAGCGGCTCTAGCCTGCTTCAGGCCTCTGCTGGGCTCCTTCACTGAGGCATGGGGCTTCCGGGGCTCCCTGGCAGGGGAGGCTGATGGGAAGCGGTGCCTTTCTGGCAGGGAGATCTCCTCTGGCAGGGGGTAGGCAGGAGGGAGAGTGTCTGAGAACAGGGCCTCTGGGAGGTGCCAGGCCACACACTAGGGTCTGCTTTCAACCTCTGCAGGCTTCCATCTTCTTGTTGGTAAAGGGGGTGCCGCCTCTCCCTGTCTCTTGGGCCTTGTGAAGACCCACTGAGAGGGGTTGTCCACCCTCTGCAGGTGCCTTCGGACCCATTGTGCCAGGTGGGACATCTTGTATGGCTGTTGTGGCTCATCACCCATGCCCAGGTCTCCAGGGTGGGACCCTCCATGCCCAGCATGCCCCTTCCCGACTCAGGAGGACTGGTGGTCTGAGCTTCCTGACCAGGTGGCCAGTCCTCATGTCCCCTGCTGGCCTTGCACAACTGGCCCGTGTTCTGTATCAGACGCCATTCGGTTTGTCCATTAACTCATAATGAAGATCGAGTCCTTCCTTGGCCCTGGATGGCCCGTGGAGGACAGGGCTGTGGCTCACAGTGGAAGCTAGTCCCACATCTGGCAGTGTCGGGCCCCCTTGGGCCAACTTCCTTCTGTCTTCGGCCATCAAAGCCTGGTTTCTAAGGGGTGGAGCTCTGTCAGTCTCTTGGCCATCCTTGCTGGGCCCCTGAAGGACAGCTGCTGTCCAGGGTGGGCAGAGGCGACTGCTCTCTGGCCCCAGGGCTTGGTGGGTCAGGTCAGCCAGACTCACCAGCCACAGGACTCTGACAGGCCCCTGGAAGAGGCATCGCACGCCACCTGTGTGTCTCCAGAGCCACTTCCAAGCTGGTGGACACCAGCCCCCAGCCCTTTCCCGAAGGGCTCCCGTCTGCGCAGCACTGTAGGGCCCCTTGGAGCCTGAGTGCAAAGGGTGGTCCTTCCTGGGCTGCCTGCCAGGCATGCTGCTCCTGAGGGGCAGTCACTGGTCCCCCAGCCCGCCCCCCAGAGGGGTGTGTGGGAAACAGGCTGAGAGAGCCTGTCCTGCCCAAGGCTGGGGCCTCCACCTCAGAGACGAGGACACCTGTGCCATGGGTGGCCTGGGAGAGTGGCACTCAGAACAGGCCAGATGGAGCATCTGGAGTGGGGAGGTACTGTGCCTGGGGGCTGGACCCAATGCACCAGCTCAGCGCTTGGGCTGGTCACGAATTCCTCCATCCCCAGTGTCCCGATTCCCTGTGGAGGCCTCTGGGGTCCCAGGCCTGTGGCTGTGGACGCCCCACCAGCTTCATCTCCCATTCACAACAGCAAGAGCAGATCCCAGGGTCAGGGCTTTGCTTGACGCTCCTAGGGCACCCAGCTGGGGCTCCTTCCTCTGCCTGGCCCAGGATAACAGTGGGGCTGAGTCCAGGCTGCCCTTGGGCCGCCTCCCTCAGCCCTGCTTGCCTTTAGCTCTGAGGCCTGTGGCGGTGGGCAAGCCCCGCACAGCAGGAGGTACAGCCTCAGCCCCACATGCAGGCCCTCATGTCTGCATGTCCTCCATCTGGCTGCCTGCGAGGGGCAACTGCAGGCCAGGCCGCACGCAGCACACGCAGGAGAGGTGGCCGCTTACAGGAGCAGGCTCTCTGGTCTCTGCTGACCCAGCACCCCATGTGCTGGGAAGAGACCGAGTCACTGAGTGGCGTGTTGTCAACTTCTCCAGGCCCCAGGCCTTGCTTGCTGCGGCTCTCCTGGGAGGAAGTGTCTATCGACTGAGGAGTTGAGAATCTTATGGAAATTTCCCCAAAGGCAAAAATGCCTCAGAGTTGTGGTTTCCAGGGAACCTGCATTTCTGGGGGGCCTGAGCTTGTCCGACTGCGTGGCCTCGTCACAGGATTTCCAGTCCTCGCCAGTGCTTTGAAGTGGAATTACTCCGGAACGGTGGGATATGGTTAACCTCTCTGCTCACTTGTGGAGGGAGCCTGTGAACGTTCTTGAGTTTGCACAGGATTGGAACACACAGCTGACCGCAGGTAGGAAGCTCTCTGGCAGGTTCACAAGTCAGAGTGGGGACAACGTGTGTGTGTGGGTCAGGGTGGGTCAGACTTTCCAGCCAGGTTCTGGAGACTCAGGAGGTCACACAGCGCAGCCAGCACACCTGGAGGCCTTTGATGTGGACCCTGCGTGGCCCCCGTGAGGCCCCCGTATGCCGGCCACGTGGACGGGGGGCCTGTCTCTACTTCTGAATGTTCTTGAACCCAGGATGGTCCTGAAGCGCCCATGATCCTGGGCAGAGTCCCACAGTGGACACGGCGTCTTCAGTGTTTTCCCGCTTTGTGTTAGCCAAGAATGAAACAGTGGACCTCTGCTGGCCTGAGTGCTCCTGGCTGACCACTGTCTGGGCTGAGAGTGTCCATTTGATGAGAGACCCCAAGCACCTGCTGGTGGGAGTGCTGGGCTGGCCCCCAGCAGAATGAGGACCTGGTCCTGGTTGCTTGTGGAGGGCCAGGAGGGATGATGGCTGGCCCTGTTCTGAGCAGCCTCCCACAGCCTTCCACCCCTCAGCCTGACCTTTGGAGAGTTCTGGTCCCACTGGGTGATGGTGAGCATTGAGGGGTTGGTTGGTTTGGGCTGCTGTTTGCTCAGAGACACATTTGGACCTGACCCAGCTGCTTGTTTGTCCAGCAGGGCTGGCCTCAGGTTCTGGCCATTTCCCTGGGATGGGTGTTGGGATACGTCTTCCTGCTAGGCTCCAAGTGGTCCGTGTTCCTGCATCCTCTGGGTTGGGGCATGGAGAAGCATGTTTTGGCCTGAAAAGTGCCATTGTGGTTAGGTTTTGCAGGGAGCCCCTCAGACCTCGTAGGACCAGCCTGTGGACTTTTGGTTCCTGTGCAGACTGTGTCCCCACAGCCCTGTAGCTGGCTGGCAGGGCTGAGCCCACCTTAGGACGAGCCTGCCCCCAAGTGCAGGCGCCTGCCAAGCAGGGCTGCTTCCTGCGTGGCGGGAGCTCAGCTGTGGTGACAATGCTTTGCTGACAGCTCCGGGAGCTTCTTAAGACAGCGTTGGCTTGTGGTGACGTGTGGCGCCGGGTGGAGGAGGAGGCCTGCCCCGGTGGCAGCTGAAGCAGTTGGCTGGACCTGGGGAAGGGGTGGAAGGCCAGGGCTGCAGGAGACTTATGCTCTGTGTGCTGCGGCCTGCCCTTTGCCAGCCAGGCCCTCCTGCTGTCCCTGTTGTGCCCAGGAGCCCTGCTTCTCTGAGTACCGGGACATGTGCTCCTGTCAAGAGTAGGCAGATGGGGGCTGGCGTGGTGACTCAGTGTAGAGCACTTGCCTTGCATTGGGAGGCCCTGGGTTTAATTCTCGGCACTGCATATAAGTAAAGTAATAAAATAAAGGTCCATCAACAACTAAAATATAAATAAAATAATTAAAATAAAAGAGTGGGCAGGTGTGAGCATCGCCAGTGGGGCCCGGGGCCA